TGGGGGGCTGTGAATGATTCCATGGGGTATCCCAGCTCCCCAGCCCCTTCTGATCTGCTGGGGCCAGCAGCCCCTTGGGAAAAAGGGTCTGTGGTCTTTGGATGAGTGGCCAACTGGAAGCAGTTTCCCTCGGGGCTGTCCCGACTGGTCCCTGGATTTGAGCTCCCCGTGGTTGCTCTCCTGATGTCCTGGGGGAGGCAGACCTGGAGCTGAGCTGGGTGTGTCCTCCAGACCCTCCTCAGGTTAAAGCCAAGGGATGTTTGCTGTTCCACAGCCTGCTGGGCTGTTCCCAGGGGTGGAACCCTCTGGAAAGCACCCATGGGTGTCATTCCTATGGACTTGTTCTGCCCCTGCCCCCGTGACAAACCCTGTCCTGCTGCAGGATCACTGGTGGTTTTATTTGTATTTTCTGCTCTGATGGTTTAGGTCCTGGAAAAACTGATTTCAGGTGTTTGGGTGTTGGTGAAGGGTCTGGAAATGCACTGTCCCCATGTCCATGTCCCTTCAGTGTCACCAAAGGTTCAGTCAAAGGACTGACCCCCCCCTTCCAGCAATGACCATCACAGGGGCGATGCCCAAAGCACGAAGTTTGGGGCCTGAGTGAGGGGTTGCCATAAAGCAGGTCCTCAGGGTGACAAAGTGGGGGTCCCTGTGGAAGGTGAGCGTGCAGGGAAGGCATTCCCAGCAGGAATGGCATTCCCAGCAGCAATGGCCAAGGAGCACTGCAGGGACTGCTGGAAATGGGAGAGATGGGAGTGTTGTGTGGGGAGAAGTGACCCTGCTGCTGCTGCTGGGCCTCGTGAGCTCGTGCCACTGCTCCTGCCAGGCAAGAGCTGCCTTGGGCCAGGCCACCCCTCCCAGGCTCCGCAGCCCCTCCGGCCGGGCCGTGTCCCACCGGGATGGATCCTGCCCCGGGATGGTCTCCGTGCTTCCCAACCCCTGCACTGCCCCTCTGTGTGTTTGCAGTTGGCTCACTTGACTAACCTTGTTGTTCCTTCTTTCTCTCCTTCCTCCTCATCCTTCCCCCCTTCCTTCCTTCCCCTCTCCCTCCCTTTCCCCCGGATCTCTCTCCTCCCTTCTCCGCTGGTCGTAGCCGGTCCCGGCGCTGCAGCCTGTTCCGTACTCTCCAAGCTCCTGCCCCCAAGTCCTCCTGCCAGTCTCTCCACCCCAGCAGTACAACCTGGTATAAACCCCAGTTCCTCTTCTGCACTCTCTGTTGTGCTCTGTGCTGTGTTTGTGTTGTGTGAGCTTGTGCTGATCAGGTATGTCCCGGGCACCGACCCCGTGGGGTTGGGATTCACGGAGCTCTGTGCTGCACTGGGATTCCTGAGGCTGTGGCACCACTGATCCCAGAGTGGCAGTCTTGCAAAGGGCCTGGGAAAAGCAAATTCCAAGCCCAGAGCTCCCCAGGAAGCGATGCTTGTGCCCAGTGCTGGGGTTTGGCAGCCGTGGCTGCCCTGTGGGCTCAGCCAGCCCCTGTGCTGTCTCCACCGGGATCTTTTGGGAATGGTGTGCCCCACGGGACGTGGCCTGCAGGCTGGGGTCACCCCTGCCTGTGTGGGACCCCCTGTGTCACTGAGTGTCCACTGAGCATTAGGCCCCCCAGCAGGTCGCATGTCCCCCTGTCCTGCTGTGGGCCTGTGGCTCGTGTGCTGGGGGAGCTCCTCACAGAGCAGGGCTCTGCACCCTCAGCACAGCTCTGTGCTACGTGCTGCTGTCCCACGTGCTGTCCTCCTCCATCCCTCCCCTTGTCCCACTGCAGGCCGACGAGCTCAGCAGCCCCTTCGGGCAGATCAGCCTCAGCCGACAGGGCTCGACGGAGGCCCCGGATCCTTCCTCGGCGATGTTCCAGTCGTCCCTCATCTCCCAGCACCCTCAGCAGCCAGGATTCATCATGGCAACCCCTGGGCAGCCCATTCCCACCTCCAGCTACTCCGCCTCGGGGCACACGGCCCCCACTCAGCAGGTGCTGCAGCCCCAGGGCTACATTCAGCCTCCCCAGCAAGTAAGGACACGAGGGGACGTCCCCAGAGCTGGCAGGGGCTGCGGGGGAGTGGGCCCCTCTTTGTCTGCTGCTCGTTGGTGATGGGTCCACCCTCAGGGGTCCAAGCTCCGGGTCTCACCCTCCCTTGCTAGGCACAGGATGGTCCCTGCCCCTGTGTCCCCGTGAGCCCACCAGGCTCCTGCCTGGGGACCCCCCCGGGCCACTCCCGGCTCTCAGTGGTGGGGGAGGGACAGTGGCCGGACTCAGGGCTGACACCTCTAAGCTCTCTTTGGGGTCCTGCAGGGCTTTATGACCTCTAGGACTGTCCCCTGAGCTGTGAGGAGAGTTGTGCCTACTGTGCTCTTGCACTACTGTGCTGGGAAAGGCTTGGATGAGGAGGCTGGGAGGCGCGGGAAGGGGCTGCGCTTCCCCACGCAGCCAAAGCCCTGGGTGGTTCCCTTCGGCAGAAGCCAGGCCAGGTGAGAGAGAAAACTGGTCCTGGGGGACCAGCTTTCTTGGATCCCCTCCCTCCTGTGTTCTCACCACCGTGTTTTCTTGCCCTTGGTAGATTCAGGTTTCTTACTACCCCCCCGGGCAGTACCCGAACTCCAGCCAGCAATACCGACCCCTCAGTCACCCAGTGGCCTACAGCTCCCAGCGCCCACAGCAGCTCCCCCAGCAGTCCCAGCAGCCAGGTAAGGGGGTGGGAAGGGGGGGGGGGGGGCAGCTTCCCCTTTTCTGCTGCTTTTGTGGCTCTCAGCATCTCCCATGTGCTCTCTGGGGCCAGGTTGCTCTTCCCGCTCTTTGCTGGACCTGTCTCTCAGCTGGGAATTTGGATCCTGGCCTGTAGAGGCTGTTGAATCCTTCCCCTCCCTTTCCTCCCAGCTTGCTGGAGCGGGGATGAGGTGGATTTAAGCCCCACTGAGGGGATTTAAAGCCAGGAGCTTCCCTCAGGTGTTTTTACACCTGCCCCAAGGAAGCCCATTCCCCACTCTTTAGCAGGAGGTGGGGGCAGAGCAGGACTTGAGCCCCTATATCCCAAGTCTGGGGCTGTTTCCCACGTCCAGCTGGGAAGCTGCTCCATTGAAACCCTGTTCTGGCAGGTTTACAGCCAATGATGTCCAACCAGCAGCAAACATACCAAGGTGTGATGGGGGTGCAGCAGGCACAGCCCCCCGGGCTCCTCAACAGCCAGAGGAACAACATGGGGGGCCAGATGCAGAGCGTGATGGGGGTGCAGCAGGCACAGCCCCCCGGGCTCCTCAGCAGCCAGAGGAGTGGGATGGGGAGCCAGATGCAAGGCCTGATGGTCCAGTACACGCCGCTGCCTTCGTACCAGGTGGGCATCTGCTGCTCTGCAGCGTGGGGGGCTGGCAGGGGACCCCAATGGGCAGGGTGTGCCCCGTTCCTGTGCCTGAGGGTTGGAGCCAGAGGTGGAGATTACCCACTTGGAGAGCACCTTGGGGAGGGCACATCCATGTGGGAATCTGTGGGGCACGTCTGGAGCAGGAGGACAGGGAGAAGAGCTTGGGAGGGGCTGCCCTGCCCGGGCAGGAAAACACCCCCTGGAATCTCTTCCCCTTGCCGGTGTCTCCTTGGGCCAGTTCTTGCTCTGTGTGACCTGTAACCTGCTGCTTTCCTCCCTGCCCAGGTTCCCATGGCCAGTGAGTCCCAGAGCGTGGTCCAGCAGCCCTTCCAGCAGCCAGTGCTTGTGCCAGCCAGTCAGTCTGTGCAGGGGGGGCTCCAGGCTGGGGGGGTCCCCATCTACTACAGCGTCATCCCCACTGCCCAGCAGAACGGCTCCAGGTACAGCTCCTGCCCCTTGGCCTGCCCTGGGGAGGGAGTTCTGGGGGTGTCCTGTCGGGGCCAGGAGACAGCCTTGATGTTCCTTGTGGGTGCCTTCCAGTCAGGGGATTCTATGATTCCATGGGGATTCCAGGGATTCCATGCCCTGCTGAGGGGGGAGCCCCCTGTTCCTGCAGCTGGAGGTGGTTGAGCACCACAGGAGCTGCTCCTCCCTGAGTCCTGCCTCCCATATCCAGGGCTTCCTGGCCCCCAGCATGCCAGGCTCCTGTGTGTCCAGAGGCTCCTGTGTGTCCAGCCCTCCCAGTACAGAGGGAGCTGGGAGTTACCTGCACAGACCCCCAGGGTTTTCCCTCCCCATCCTCACCCGCTCCCTCTCTGCTCCTCAGCCCGTCCGTGGGGTTCCTGCAGCCTCCTGGCTCCGAGCAGTACCAGATGCCACAGTCCCCAGCCCCCTGCAGCCCCCCCCAGATGCAGC